ACCTCCTCATCAGATCCACCGGCCTGAACCTCACCGAGGTCCCCGGAGGCGGCCGCCACCTCGCCGGAGCTCTCCCCAGCCCTGGATCGGCCGGAGACATCACCGTGAGAGTGTAGAGCGCGACGCTGAACGCGAACAAGACGATGACGGAGATGTAGAAGACGCCAGATCGCCGGCACGGCGACATCAGCTTCCGCCGGAGGCTCCTCCTCTCCGCCGGAGATCGATTCGGTTGTCGCCTCGGCATTGCCGATCGACTCCAACCTCGGACTCCCTTTCTTCAAGTCCTTGCTCGATTCTTGATGCGAGAGAAAGAATTAAAATGGGTTTATAGAATCGTTAGAGCTCAGAAGTGATGATTAATGATCTAAGATTAACGGTGGGTCCGCTGGGCCTGCGGATCTTTTTTAGCTTAATGTGTAGTGGGAAATATGGGAACTTGGGACCGGTTTATGGAAAGGGATAATAACAGCAAGAAGCACCGACAGTTAATATCTCGCACGTGAGATTCACGTGGATGTTATTAGTAGTAGTAGGGCCCCATTTTCCAGTCTAAATCCCATTAGAAATAATAAGTATGAGCTCACAGCTCATTTTGTTAGAAGAGCTATTAAGAGATAGTAACATGGTCAGACCTATTTTGTTATATCAAAAGGTGTGGACCTCACCACTCTTGAAAGTTTATTTAGTAAAATGAGCAGCTACCTCTTACCCATCATTCCACATTAAATCTTTTAAGGGTATGTGTTGGGCAAAATGCACTGGTATTTCATACCAATTCAATCAAGTTGTGTCATGTGACACTCATTGTTCTTAATTAACTTTAACACTTTTAATCATTGCCATCAGAATTTTCATAAAATAACAAATCTCCTAACCATGATTAATATATTAAAAACCTCTAAAATTTTCAGATTGCAATAACGCCCAAAAATTGTGGAAATCCAAATCCCTAAAAGTTTCATACTTTGCATTTTACCCTAAAAAATGCAAAAACAAATCCCTAGAAAGTTTCCAAATTTGCAGTTTATGGAAGTTTTAGACTTGTAGTTACCCTCAAAAATTACATAAAATCACCCTAAAGTTTTAGGCGGTTTTATATAACTTTTTAGGGGGCAAACTGTAACTTTTGAAACTTTCTATTTTTTTAAATTTGGGGGGATAAACTACAAATTATGAAACGCTTAGGGGCTTTTTTATAATTTTCAGGGGGTAAATTGCAATCTGAAAGATTTAGAGATTTTTTAATAAATTAATCATGATTAGGAGATTTATTATTTTTATGAAATTCTGATGGCATTAAAGAGATATAGATGCTTAAGAATAGTGAATGTGACATGTCACAATTTGATTGAATGGGAGCATACATTAATGGTATTCAAAGAGCATCGAAGATTTTTTTTTCCCCTTATTTTGGTTAGGATTATAAATTTTTAGGCTGCGTTTGGGAACTTGGATTTGGGCCCTGGATTTAAAATCCAGGGTATTAGATTTTAAATCTTTGATTTCAAATCCTAGCATTTAGTAATGACATCCAAACAAATGATTTTATCAAATCATGGATTTTAAATCCTAGATTGGAAATCCCTTGATTTTAAATCAAGCTTCCAAATTCAAATCTTAGTTCCCAAACGCAGCCTTAAGGAAGATAACGTGGGGAAAGATAAAGTAATTTGGGGGATCTAGAGATTTTGTTCCCCTTACGTTGGGTGTAATGAAGGGGAAGGGAACTATTAAAAAAACACTATTACACCTAATAGTTTTATCATTCCATAAATTTCTAATAATAAAATGATCTAATGACATTTTAAAGTTATTTATGTAGATTTACATATATTCTCTTACCTTTACTTTATTAAACTTCTCAAACGACTTGTAATAAGCTCCCCCTGGTTCTCTTACTAAATTCTCAAACAAGTTGTGTATGTTACCTTAACTTTATTTTTCTTATCTTATGTCCACTTAAGTTTCCTTCACTAAGAGCAAATCAAACAAGCCCCAATTTCAAGGAATATGAACATGTCTAGATTATTCGAGCCAATTTAGTGTTATTACTAGTGACGAGACTTTCTCTTAAAAGGCTTGAGTCTTCTTTATAGTCTGAGGCCTCAAATCGGGGTGCCATTGGACGTAGGAGTCCATTGACCAATTGTTTCCATTACCAAACAAGAAAATCGTTTTCCAGATGAGCACGTTGAAGTTAGCTATTAAAATTAATTGTTTTCCATAAGTAGATTTAGTTATGGATTTAAAATAAAAGAGAGATTTTTTTGGATAGATAAAGGTGCATCATCCGATCCAATTAAAAACCATGTATATCATAGAAACACATCACATATTTCATAATTGGCCCTATGATTTTGTGTACAAAATTAATTTCTCTCTTGAGAATAAAATTTTCTATCTCAAACTTGATTGGCTTACAAACATATGATAGTTTTTCTTAAATTGATTTTGGGGTGGTGGTGGGGTTCTTATTCTACTCCGTGTACATCTTTAGAAAAAGGTAAACCAAATAAAAACATGATTTTGCTAAGTTAAATATTACAAGAATAATAATCAAATGAGGGGTCCTAACAAAAATATTACTGTAGAAACTCTTTTGTAATTGGAGGGACAACGTAACACACGTAATTTTTAAGAACAACAACCAAAATCAAAGGGCTTTCGGAGAAAGACATCAAATGTCCGATAATTTGTCTCATGATTTGGGTCCAAAATCAAATTCTCTTTATGGCTTACACAAAAAGAGAACCTATATAACAATTGGTCTCATAACTTGGGTCCAAAATCAATTTACCTTTTGAGGATAATGAGTATTTTGATATCAAACTTTACGCAGACAAGCACATGATAAAAGCTTTCCAAATGGGTGGTCCTTTGTTATAGGCATTTGAAAAAAAGGCAAAAACAAAAAGTTGGAAATTTGAAATTGTGATAGGGGATAGAATTCCGTAGTTAATGCGGGGTCTACCTAAAATTTTACAATAAAAGATAATAAATGTGGCTGCTGGGATTCGAGCCCAGGTCTCTACGGCCACAACGTAGAATTCTAACCACTAAACTACAGCCACGTTGCATGCTGTAAACGTTCATTACCTATATAAACCTTTACTTCATACTTCTATTCATACTTCTATCAAGAACAAAGTCTAGTTGGCCCCCAACCTTTTTACCGTTATTCTAATTAGCCCTTATGTTTTTGTTTTAATCTAATTGGCCCTCAACTTTTCAATCTGTTATCTTTCTTAGCCCATTTTCGTTAAACCTCAATTTGATAGGGATATTTTTGTCATATTGTGATGTTTCTATGGAGGGAAACTGCTCTGATTCCCTCCAACTACCTGCGCATCATTTTTTTGTCAATATATCATTTTTTTATTTGTTAGTGCGTCTCCACTTGAAGGTGGCGAAGAGCCATTTAACCTCATCTCCAAAATGCTAATCTTAAAGTCTATTAGCTATAATGCTTTTTCTCATGTCGTTTTACTTAACCTTCTCTAATGTCAAAATTAAATAATAATCCTTATTACTCTCTCTCTCTCTCTCTCTCTCTCTCTCTCTCTCTCTCTCTATATATATATATATTAACCTCATCTCCAAAATGCTAATCTTAAAGTCTATTAGCTATAATGCTTTTTCTCATGTCGTTTTACTTAACCTTCTCTAATGTCAAAATTAAATAATAATCCTTATTACTCTCTCTCTCTCTCTCTCTCTCTCTCTCTCTCTCTCTCTCTAGCCACGAGAACCATTTATACGGGACTACTAGTCCCGCATAAATGTCGACATATATATACCATCTGCCCTAAATTCCGCTATTCCCCTTAGAATCTCAATCTCTCTCCGCCTTCTCTCTCCACCTTCACTCCCAAACCCATCTCAATCTCTTCACCCTCACTCCCAAACCCATCTCAATCCCTCCCAAACCCATTGAAATCTCTCCAAAACCCGAATTTCAAACCCAATCTCCATCTCTCCCAAACCCTAATTCCACACACAAAGCCAATCTCCATCTCTCCCAAACCAATCTCCATCTCTCCCAAACCCAATCTCTCTCTCTCTCCCAAACCCAATCTCTCTCTCCCAAAGCCAACTCACCCCCTCCTCCCTCAAATCTGACGTCGAACTTGATCTCCGATGCCAACGAAATCCGATTTCGACAAGGTAACAATTTCAATTTTTTTTCATAAATTTCTCCAATTTCGTTTAGTTAATATGTATATTTAGAGGTATATCTAGAGGAAATAATGAATTATGATCATCAATTTGTAAAATATCTAATTTGTATACGTCAAATTTTAATTCTTCAGTTAAAATGGCGAATGGAATTCCGATTATTTGCTTATTCAATGGGAAATTGAGTGTTGGAATGAATAATTTGCCTATATATGATGGAGGCTCTAGGAAAATGTTCATGTTGTCTAGAAATTGCAATTTCGATGGAATGATGGAGCAAATATACAGAGTTACCAGAATTAATCATGCCGAAAATGCCATTAAGGTCTTTTGTAATTGTCCAATAAATGAAAAAAGAACAATTGCGGTAGAGATCACCACTGATGAAGAATTGAATGACATGATACAACTTGCGGATAAACAAATCGCAATTGAGTTGTTCATTGAAAATATTCCAAAGTCTGGGGTTGTCGAAGTTTCGTATGCTCACGGAGAGTTCTCTCGCATGCTTGAAAGTCAAATCTCATTATCTCAAAGTGCCTTGCACTTAAAAAATGACGCAGGTGCAACGTCAAGTTACATGTTTCACAACGTGTATGATGATATTTCAGTTGATTTACCGGTTGGTGGTTCTATAAAAGAAGATGACGAATATGTAGATGCTGATGATGATAGTGAAGATGTTGAGTCTGAGGAGGAACGTCTTGATAGTATGCAGTTCGCAACTGGAGAGAACAATGATGATGCAAGTTGGATGAATGCATATTGCGTAAACAACGATTATGTAGAGTCTGAAGAACCGTTACCCGAAGAGTTTGAAAATGATGAGTGGGTAAATAACTCACAAGCTGAGTTAGTTGAGCCTGGTCCTAATTTCGATCGACCTGAGGATATCACTTTCAAAAAAGGAGATCTATTTGAGAATAAGGAAAGCTTAATTTTCGCTATACGTGAATGGGCAATTAGGAACCGGGTCAAATTCAAGCCGGTGAAATCCAACTCAACTAGCTACCATGTAAAGTGTTACTTCAATGAGAAATGTCAAGCCGCTTATACAAGTGCTGCAGACGATAGAAATTTAAAATGCCCATGGAGCAATTAGGAACCGGGTCAAATTCAAGCCGGTGAAATCCAACGCAACTAGCTACCATGTAAAGTGTTACTTCAATGAGAAATGTCAAGCCGCTTATACAAGTGCTGCAGACGATAGAAATTTAAAATGCCCATGGAAGCTTAATGCAGCTGTTAGGAAAAAATCCAACGGACAATTTGTGATCTCAAATTATTGCGGACTTCATACATGTTGCAATCCGACTGTCGCTAATGATCATATGACAGCGACTTCCGCTTATATAATGAAGCTAATTATGCCCGAAGTTAGGCGGGAACTTGATCTTACTCCAGGACAGATAATAACAACGGTTCGTGCTATGAAAGGCATAACTATATCCAAGTCTAAAGCATATGATGCACGAAGGAAGGCGTTGACTAAAATATTTGGAGATTGGGAAGAATCTTATCAAAAACTTCCACATTATCTTGCAGCAATTAAGAGGAATAATCCGGGTTCCGAACATGAGATAGTGTCTAAGCAGGTCTCGTCGGAAGTAAACATAAAGTGCATTTGAGGTAAGACGGGTCATAAATTGTTATTACTTTTATACTTTGATAAGAAGATATTTTTTCTCACTATTTTTAGAAAATCTGACTAACTTCCACATTTTTCAATAGGTGGTTACCACTTCTCGAAGACTTTGACGTGTGTGGGACATTATCCTGGGGTAGTGCTGTTTTAGCATATCTATATCGAGAAATGTCAAAGGTTGCTTTAATGCAAAATAAAGAGCTCAAAGGCTGTTTGACATTGTTACAAGTTTGGGCATGAGAGAGACTGGTTTTGAAACCGCGATTATGCGAGATCCGAGAGTTGGATGGACAGATTCCACTAGGCTGCAGGTAAAATTCCTCGAATTTAATATCGTTTGATATTTTATTTTTCATTTAAACTTTTGAACAAAAATCTATCGTATATTGTGTTTTACAGATGGAATGTCACTAAAGCCTATAATGAGGTCCCGGCTAGACAGTTAGACTTTTACAGGGGGGAGCTCGACCGAATGAAAATTTTTCAGGTATGAATTTGAATTGCAATCGTTTAAAGCTATCGATATATTTCAAACAACAGTTAATATATGAATTATTTTGCAGTTCGAGTGGCAGCCATACGCACCTTACCTACACCGTCTACCGCTGATTTGTATGGAGGGACACGGCATATGGCGGTCCAGAGTTCCTCTCATTTGTTTCGAAATTGTGGAGATGCACGTACCCGATCGTGTGTTTAGACAGTTTGGACTCACACAACACGCTCCACAATTGGTCGAAAAAATAGAGAGAAAGGCGGCTAAAGGTGGACATCAGATTAACTGGCAGCGCACGCATCAATCATACATAGCTCGGTGGAATGATCGGCATCAACTTATTATCGATCCGCTTTATCCTCCGATGTAGAAAGTCGATTACATAAGATGGTATTGGGGGGTTACCCGACGTTGGATAATCACCCAAACTGCGCCTCCAGTCGACGAAATCGAGATTCGCAACCAACAATCTCGATATGTACCAAGAGGGTTAGATGAGAGGCGATGGGTAAGTAAATTGCTTTAGATTATAATAGATTTTTCAATCTTTATGTTAGCTTTTGGTTTATTATATGAAGCAATATTTTTATGTAATTGTAGATAGACGCATTGGACGATGTAGTGGGGGATTGCAAATGAGGGTATAACTACCGCCATAGGAGATTCTGTGGACGTATCTATATTACAGCGGATAGTGGCGAGAGTTCGTAGAGCTTTTCAACAAACTCATGAGGATCGACATGAAGGTCGTGAGCAGGTGGATCTTGAAGATACTACATATGTGCGCCACCGTAGACGTGATAGATCTTGCACGCACGACGATGAAGCTGGCCCGTCACAACAAGCTGGTCCGTCACAACAAGCTGGTCCGTCATAGCCCCACACACAACCAAAGAGCGAGCATATACAAGCTCAAGACGAAGGGGGCCGCCGCCGATCTCAGCGGGTGCGAAGGCCGAGACAACGGGGGAGGGGTGGATTTTTCCTTTGTTAGTTTTTCCATGTAGATATACGGGACTAGTAGTCCCGTATTTTTGCTGGGCAGAGGCAATGTGCCTCTGCAAAATATACGGGACTAATAGTCCCGTACATTTTGCAGAGGCAATATGCCTCTGCCCAGCAAAAATACGGGACTACTAGTCCCGTATTATTGCTGGGCAGAGGAAAATTGCCTCTGCAAAATATACGGGACTATTAGTCCCGTATATTTTGCTGAGGCAAGGGAAATTCGCTCTGGAAATTGTACGGGACTAGTAGTCCCGTACATTTTGGTGAGCCACGAGAAGCTCACAGAAAACATACGGGACTACTAGTCCCGTATGTTTTCTAATCTCTAATTAGTGTATTGAAAACATACGGGACTAGTAGTCCCGTATGTTTTCAGGCCAAGTTTTTGAAAATCGACCTCTTTTTGACCAACAGGCCAAAAAGAGGTCGATTTTGCTAAATATTTAGCAAAATGGTCGATTTTGCTAAATATTTAGCAAATGTGGTCTATTTTTAAAATTTTTCCTACAAATGTTCATGAAAAGGTCATGCTGTCAATAATCTTATAGGCGCATGCCTAGCTTCCACAAGTTACAAAAGAAAATCCAAAGTTGATAGATATAATAGATCAAGTTAACTTTATTCTTAAAGCACTTGAGCATATATAACACGCTTATAAACTCATAGATGCAAATGACAAAAGAATTAACCGTCAAATTTGAAAATCATCATCATGTCTACCAAAACGAGCGCCCAATATCAAGAGCTAGTTGGTTAAGTTCACACATATAAACCTGTGCGTTACAAAAGTCTGAACATATTAGCTGTGGGTTACAAAAACAACATAACAAGCACGTAGATGCAATAAACTGTGTGCTTAACAAACACACACAGCACACCATTGGTCCGATGACGAACCACATTTCCACACCAAACTCAAGCAACCCCCCCCCCCCCTCCCTCCACCTACAGCCGGGGTGGGCTTGTGCAGAATCCTGAAGTTACTTTTGCCTCGTCAAATTCATTCTGTATTTTTGGCATCGACCCCTCTGGCCTACTCAAGGACGCGTCTGTCATCTTCTTTTCTAACCTCCTCATCAAGGGTCTTCTAATGTCTCCTAGCGTTGCCGAGATGGGCTTACACCTGAAAATAGGAAAAAATATTTGTCAATAAATAAGAAAATATCATATGGATGACTGTTACAATATATTAAACCATTTTTGCCTTATAAGTTCTCCTCTGTTAAGGCATTTTTTTTCTTTTGCATTACACATTTTTCCTTGACATTTTTTTTCTCTCTCTTGTATTGAATTCTTCGATTTAAAGGCTCCAATAAAAGACCCGGCCTAACTTTTAAGTGCGCCCATTAAGGCCAATATAGGTGTGGGTCAGGTCCATAAAGCCTAATACAAGTGAGTCATGGGTGTGTGAGGTCGTTGTTGGGTTAATTTGAAATTGCTATAGAAGTAATTAAGGTGATATATAATGAAAAGAAATTATGTATGTTGATAGAAAACATGAACATAATATTATTTTGAGATTATAGTTAGACTAAATAACATGAAGAAATTATATATGTATGCTGTCACGACCACTCCCTTGAAATTTCCTCTCAAGTGTGATGCATCTAAACCAATGAATGGTCTGCATCCCTCAATAAACCCTTTCTTTAGTGCAGCATAACAGATATATATCCTCTGAAACCTAGATTCATCCTCTGATTGTGGATAACATTTCTTGACAGTAGCCGTTGTGCATAGATTACTCTCCACCAACTCATTACAATAGTCATAAATCTTCTTAAATTGGCTCTCTTCACTTCTATAACTTTTTAGTAAAGCCATCTTTCTAGCCCAATATGTAGTCCTTTTCATATCAGTGATAATCTCATATGGCTAAATATATGTAGTGCTCATCATCTATCACATTGTCACCTAAGCCTATATTTCCTCCTCTTCTCCACAACTTTTCTCTTTCCATTTCCTTTTTTGTTTCTATTTAATTCATTTGTATAAGCTTCATCCTGATTTTCCCATTGCAAATTTCTTTCATCATTGAGTGGTTCATGTTCTTCCTCTTCAACATGAGACCAATGGGGTTATGTGGAGATATTGGACATAAATAATAGATAAGGCATTCTTAAAATTTCATGGCTCGTCTTCTTAAGAACCTATAAGCAACCTTTCATGTGATATGCTTGTGCAATTAGAGTTTAAGTATAGTTTTATCTCATATTTTTCTATGATTTCTTTCTATTGCTTGCGCTCTTAATTTCTGGAAAATCGAGATGTTGAATGTGGGCTTTGGCGTTGAGGGAGAAAAAGAAGAAGGGTTTTTCTATAGAGTGTCCAAGGGCACTCTACAAGACATGAGAGAGATAGAGAGAGGTGAATAGTAGAGGGGCCCACTGTTTGCATTTATTTCCGTTCCCACTATTCACCTCTCTCTATCTCTCTCCTCGCTTATAGAGTGCCCAAGGGCACTCTATAGAAAAACCCAAAGAAGAAAGGAGGAATGAGCTTGGGTTTTGGTAGAGTTATTAGCAGTCTTGGCCCTCGGGTTGGAGGAGCTGTTAATGAGTAGTTTGGATATTTTAGGTGAGGACCATAATTGTCAATTTATTGTTGGCATTAGAGTTACATTTAAAGACAACATAATATACCCTCTCATTTATGATCTCAACTAACCATATAGACTTATATCAACAACACACAATGAAGATCCAAGAGAATAATATCAAAATATGAAGATTTAAGGATCTCATATCAAATTACTAAAAGATTTAAGGAACTAATATAAAAAATCCCCTAAACTTAAAACTCATTTCCTCCTTCACCCCTCCCCTTCTGTAATTATTGAATCTTTTGCTTACCCCTCCCACTATAATATCTCAGCAAACTACTAAGAAGACAATTTTTTTTTTACGTAATGGCAGCCAGACTTTCAAGTTGCTCTCTTTTTCTCTTGGTGTGTGTGTTTGTGTATGTATGTATGTAATGTATGTATGTGTGTGTGTAAAAAGGGAAATATTTATGTTTTCATTTGCAGTTACTTTTGTTTTACTTTATCTTTTAGGCAAGGCATGGGGATAGGCAGATTTATATATGAAATTCAATAAAAAACCTAACTTGCTTCGGCCCAGTACAGATTTACATTAGGCCTAGAATATTTCAGAGTAACAAGTTTACTAAAGGCTCATTCTGGAAACCCATCAAAATAGCCATCAATATGCATTTGGGATCTGCTGTCTACATGTTTTGCAAATATTCTAACCTAAGGGTTTATTTCGTCGGCTGCAAGCAAATGAATGATAATGCAAGCGAGTAAGTTGTATATGTTAGATTACAAGAATTATAATTCTAAGTTCTCATCACAACATGGAGTTCTGGTGCAGCAAGATGGTTCTTCGACGTAATATCAGAAAAACACAGGTTCATGTCTTATGGGTCACGAATTTTTTCCAAAATGGATTTCAAGAATATGATACCATTGCATAAATCCATATTTTAGCCCCATAGCTCTTCGACATGCAACCAAGAAGTTAGAATTGTGAGTTAAAGCTCTTTGCAGTTGAAAGAAAAGCTGAAGTCACGACATACACTCAAATTTGTGCAAGTCATTGACTGCGGCCGGAAACCATTTGACAATACGGTTACAACTGTACTTATTAATTGTATTGAAATAAACAATTGTGAATTACTTAAAATATCTCAGATATATATATGTGCAACTACAGTTGCAATCACTGTGCTTAAGCTTGATAAAAAAACACCTAAAACTCATTAAAATCATGTGCTAATAATTCAAAAAAGCCTTTTCTCATAAGTAGGACAATCCTGTGCTAATAATTGCAAGACAAAGACCTCAAAGCAAATATACCCACATTGTCTTTAATAGCCATCTGATCCAATAGCGGCCCAAGTCCTTTGTCCCATGCCAATGGCTAACGGAGCCAACATATAGAAAGAAACGAGGAAGGAGAAGTAACTTCTCTCCTTTTTTTTTCGTCTACTCCAGCTTTTTTTGACTGAGATTCATTGGGTTGTTTGGTGTCGATGAGGATGAAAATAGGATAGAGTGCATTTAATTCTATTTACAATTTATTTTGTTTTGCGAGAATTGCAAAAATTGGAGTATTGAGCTCGGAGAATTTATTAAGTTTTGCGCAAATTGCAATGTTTGGTATGTAGAGTTGTTAAAACATTTTGATGTATAGTTATTCTGTTCAAGGGAATACATATACATGTTGATGAAACCAAACTTGAATCTCGAGTAATGTTCTAAATTTGGGGTTAATTATTTCAATATAAACTGTATGAATACTGTATAAACTCCATCTGTTTATTTCGTATATAATAAGACTAAATAGGAA